ATTTATTTCATGAAATAGTATGCTAGTTATAACTAAATTAAGAAGGAATATTCTGAAATAAAATAAGAAACATTACAATAACTAAGTTTAAATAATAAACACAAATGACTAATTCACAATTTGCATATTTTGTCTATCATCCATAAACTGATTTAACTTCAAAACATTAGATACTTTACTTAATACCCATAAAACTGTTTAAATTCAGGACATTTACACTTTTGTATTAAACACAAAACTGTCTAAAGTCACAACATCTATGCCATTACAATTTTTTTTTAATTTACCAGGTTGACAATTTTAGTGTTCAAAAATTACAAAGTGTCTCGTTAATGGCAACTAAAAATATACTTGCAGTTCAGGACAGGTTGCAGTATGGCATTCATCTTTATACTGCATAAAATTATAAAATAGCAATGCTTTGTGTCTGAGGCATGTGATTACATTCTTGTATCTTCATGCATTCAATTTTGACACAAAGGTTGTATCTTTTTAAAACCCTTTCAATTAAACATGCAGCATAAGAGTAACTGTTTACCAAACCATTTGTCAAAATTAAGAATTAGTGTAAAATTAATTTAATTAAATGAATTAAATTTAACATCATTGTACAGTTAATTTTAGTTAAATACCTTTAATTCAATAACTAAATGTAGCATTCAAAATACAGCATAAATAATATATACATCATCTCAAAAGAATGGTAAATATGCATATATTTTCTCATTTTGTTTATTTTATTTCTGCAGTGGTACATAATTCAGGCCCTAAAGTAAGGTCCAAGCAGTACGACCAACTATCGTGGAAGTGGATCAACAGTTAAGTATTATCATAAAGTGTTTAGTGCTGAAACAAATTAAACTAAAGAAAGTGTAGACATAACATAATAATGATGCATCCAATCTCTCTAGACAAAACCATTGACAATTTGAGCAGCTTTGAGAATATTCTAATAGAATATGAGTGGGCATGTGCAAGGGGTATGTCATTCAAATTATTTTCGAATTTAAGGAATTTGGTAATGTTCTTACCGAATACATTAAAGATAAAGAATTGCCCATCTGTTTATTATGTAAAAAACTTCATTTTTTATAAAGTTGCCACTTTGGATAGATCCAGAGCAACTAGACTGTTTATCTTTAAATAAGATATATTTGCATAACATTTGCATTATCAAATATAAAAAACATGCATCTATAAGTGCATGTCAAATACTGATAATAGCACACAGAATACTGGAAATAAAACAAATTTACCAAGAGATTCCAAAATATCCCTCGTGATGAGTAAGCTGTGTGTATGAGGGATCAGCTTTTTCCAGTTAATTAGTAAATGTAAGGATTCAGAAGATTCACACACAAAATATATATATATATATATATGCATATAATTATTCCAAACCTGAACAATATATATAGATAAATCATGAAAATTACATCATTATAGAAATTATGAGAATTTTCAACAAACATTAAACTGAATTTTGTTCATTTTATTACTTAATAGGCTATTCATGTGGACTCAATTTCATTTTTCATAGCCTTCATGAACATTAGTATCATTATGTACACTCAACAGCCATATGATTTCTCCTGCCAGAGAAGGATGAATGATGGCCAAATGGAAGATGGTTGAGAGCCTCAAAAGCAAATCCAACAACACATTTTAGCTCAAATTAGGTAAGCTAAGCAAGATCTGTATACCACAAATAAAGGAACTTGGATATACTGATTTTCAAGGTATTCTCTATTATTTCTTCCCGCTATATATCATACTGCAACTGATATCATTTCACCTGCAACTGTATTTGTATACAGACATTTGTTTAGATTAACTAAGAGCATTACCTTCCCAATCCTCTCCCAGAGGTATGCCCCCAGTGGCTCAGTGGTAAGTCTGTAGACTTATAATGTTAAAAATTGGGTTTTGATACACATGGTGGACACAGTACAGATATCCCATTGTGTGTTGTAGCTTTACTACAAACAAACCCAGAGGGAAGTAATTCATGCCCAAGGAAAGTTTATTATACAGTTAAATGTTTTTATATTTTGTCACTGAAGAATAAGGGATGAGAAGTTGAAATGATATAATTATTATGTTTTTTAAACTCTTCCCCCATAAAGTCCTTCCATAATATAAACTTAACCAAATGTGAAATTAGAGGTTAAATCTTAGGGGTGAAAGTACACTCCAGAAAGTACCCCTGAAGTGCAAAATTTCACTCAACTGCCTTTTTCTAATACAAAACACCGTATGCTATAATTTTATGTCTATCTGTTGGCTGCTATAAGCCAATTTGATAAAAATAAAGTTAGAAAATCATGTTTCATTTGATGTAGAATTAAAAATGCACATTTCTGATGTTCCTAAACTTTTCTAGTGTCATAAAGTGAGAATTAAATTGTGACATCAAGAATTTATTTCACATGTGTTGTAAGTCTGTATCTAAATAAAGGAAAGGTATCAAAAGAAATTAAAATGCAAATAAACTTGACACAGGATTTTGTTCTAAGTTTCTCAGATACTTATTTTCATGCCCAACCTTGTGATATTTGTTCATAATATCATGTCAAGGAAGTTGACAGTTTTTTATACTATTCTCATGAAATATGTTGTTTCTACATACAAGGAGCATCATTGATGTCATTCTCAACAAACAGATTATGGGGACTCAAAAATCAAAACAGACTTTAGAATTTTATGCTTATTTGTTGGAAGCCACAGTAAAGTATAAACAGTATCTCAACATATTAAAAAAAAATTTAAGTAATAATAGTTTCATGAAATATGTGTTCATACAGACTGTATTCCTGTAATGTCAAATTACTTTATTGTATCTGCAGCATGCTGATGTCAACCTGAATTGCCTACCCATATTGTGAATATTAAATGAATTAAAGGCATGTATAACATTATCGTGCATTAAAAATTTACAAACTAACAACTAAATTATGGTTGGGATTATGCAAGTAGATTTTATTACATACATATCCAAAGAAAAATACAACTTAAATATTTTGTAACACGTTATTTTTTATTTATAATATTTTTATATTTTTTTTCTGCTCAAATAGTTTTGTCACAGCTGAGGATGAGCTAGATTATTTTGTATTGATTGTTTATTTTCGTTCTCAAGACATTAAAAATAGTCAAAGAAAGATGTGCGATTTCAGGTTGAAACAATGACAACAATACATCACACGACCACAAAAGGTTTTTCCAGTGATTTTCCTATACCTGTGGTATTAGATTGCATGTTGTGTAGCATACTGAATTAAAATATGTAAAGACAAAATTGACTAAAATTACTATCTTACTTATATTTTTCTCTCTCAAAATTTTTTAAGTTTCAGTGAAACATTCTTTTGCCAAAATGTATCTCCTAATATAACATTTCTTGTTTTAAAGATGCTGAAAGAATTATACCTTTGGCATGTGAATGATGAGGTAAATGATGGTTTCTCTGGCACTAACATTAATTACATGAACAGCCAAGATCAACTACTATTAAACATCTATCCAGGTCATAGGTTCCTAGTATTCAGGTGCAGCCATCCTTAATTGTGAGCTACTAACCACAGAAAAGACAGACAGCCAGCAGCACATACCACCACAAAGACTAAGGGGACTAAGTTTCTCTTTTATAAGGTGCCCAAAGTGCAAAGCATGTTTAGCAACATTGCATCTCAATCCCCAAACTCACTGATTTGTAGCCAAAAAAAAAACCAACTATAATGCACCCAGCCCTTTTCAAACCTTTTTTGAAATTGTAAATACAACATGTATAACCATAAATGTTTAATATAATAAGAATATGTATATGTAATTGTAAGTACAGCAAAGGTTATCTTGCACTTTCAACTACAGCTTAGAGCTTGAAATGTGAATTTATTTGGCTGGGGAGGAGGGGGGGGTGGCTTTGTCCCCAAGACCCACTAAAAGGGAATAAATTTGTAACTAACTAAAGACTTTGTTAGACCTCATGACTTTGATGATTTTTACATACATATATGCCTGCCACCTATAAGATAAGACACTGAATTGCATGTACATCATACAGAATAGTATTTTTAGTACACTTTACATTACTCACAGCCAAGTGTATATATCGTTTTTCTAACATAATTAGTGTTTTTATGCATCACACTTCAAACTCTGAGAGAAATAAAACTTGCTTCAATTGTAATATACAATGTAATTTCAAAAATTCAAAAGTTAACATTTTCCTTAATTGAATATGTATTTCAAATAGATACCTCCATACACAGAAAGCTACTTTCCTCCTGAAGGCATGCTAATCTGCCTGAGAAACTCAGATGCCACCAGCCTTGTGAAACTCTCACCCATATTTCAAGAGAAATACTGCATGACATATCATGCAGCATAACCATCCACCAATAGGAGTGCAACACACCTAATTGCAAAAATGTGCCCTGTACATTCACATGTGAAATTCCTCAATTTCTGACAAGGCAATAAATAAAGGTGACCATGAAAGCAGGGAGGATGAGTGGGAATGTGTATGGATGGTGGTGAGTACCTGTTGGAAATACATTTTCAATTAAAGAAAATGTTATCTTCTGATATAATCACTCACCTCCATACACAGAAAGCTAGAATCTTAACAGTGAGATGGTGGAAGGACTAGTGTGAAATTTACCTAGATGAGCTCCCTTCAGCAAGCATTCAAAGGAAGCCCATGGGCATGGAAGATAATCAAGCTCATTCCATTGGAATGGGCCCAAAAAAGGAGATATAATTCCTGGAGGAAAATGATACTGGAACATGCACCCCCCTTGAAAGCTGATGTGAGAACCTAAAGTGAAAATGTCTGAGTGAACCTTAACCTTTTGTACCACTAACAGTGGGAGAAATGGGAGCCTGCCCATTGGACTGCAAGCATTACCAGGATGCTGATGTGGAAATAACTCTCTTCAAATGTCCCAGAAGGTCAAGTAAGAAAGTCATACAGGGATGCTCCCCATCTGGTTAGAGATGAGTGGGGAATAGGAGAAGACAAGATTGGGAGGAGGTACAGGAATGCCAGTGGTGGAGTGCAAGCAGTCCAGCCACCAGGCAAGATCCTCCAGAAAATGGGTAGAGAGGAAAACCCGTGAGGAAATGGGATCCCTGGACAGGCTCCATTAGTTGCTTAGGGTTCAGTGAAGGTGACTCACATGAGCACGGTCGAGTGGAATGATAGGATACAAAGAAGCTATAATCCCCTAAGAGAGAACCTAATGCATTGATGGGAAGGAAAGGAGCTGACTTAGGTGATGAGAGTTATGAGGTCTAGTAGTCATGGAGGATAATGTTGACAAAAGTGAGGAGAGAGCTAAAATGTAACTAGAGGTGAATAAGACATTTGGACAGGGTAGAAAAAATTGAAAATGTTGACAAGGCACCCTAAGCAAGCAGCTCTGTGAAGCAGAAGCAAACTTTGATCCACAGATTCCACTTGGTAAAGGAGAAGCCTGTTGACCATGTAGATGTGGAACCTCAGTTTCAGACCTTGTAGATAATGAGTTAAAGCTCTAATAATGTGGTGGAAAACACATGGGGCCAAGTCTAGTTCGAATGGAAGGAAACGGAAAATGGGGAAATGCATCCAACCCATTTGCCTTGGCTACACAAAGATCTGGTTGGAAAGACCAGAAGAGAGAATAGTAATTCTCCTTCCAAAAATGAGGGATGACCTAAATGCAAATGATAAGGATAGATCAATGAACAGATACTAGTCCCCATTTTTTGTTGTAGTTGTTATTGTTTTTTTTTTTTATGGGGGACAACAAAGAGGCGAGTAATAATCCAGAAAGTGTCAGGAACTCTCTCTATGGATTGCTCCTCCAATAGGTTCATAATTACGCAATCCACATGTTAGAGAAAGACTGGAACTGAGAAGGGAAGAAAGGCTAATTGGGAAAGAAAGTGGAAGGCTAGACCATGGGTCATGACTAGAATGACCCATTTGTCTGGAAAAAAATGATCCTAAAAATAATGAGCAAACTGGAACAAACAGAATCCCACAGGACCTGAATTGACCATAGGATAACGGGAAGGACTTTGGGTAGAATAAATATGGTAAAAGGTGGAAGGCAGGGAAACTGCAACTAAACAGGGAGAAAAGGGTGGGTGACATCATGGGATAGATGGAGAGGAGTGAGATTGGGACAAACTCAGAACTAATAAAGAAAGAAAGACAGTCACTGCCAAGGAGTTTTTAATGGAGTGAGGGGGCAAAACAAAGGTCAAGAAGGAAGGAGGTGGGCAAACTAGCATGGGGAGGTAGGGTATCTCTACTCAAGAGTCCCAAAAATAAGGAATCAAGTGAGAGGTGAAAGTACATATGAAGTTAAAGGTGGTGCCATGGAAGAAAAAGGAATGTACCTTGTAACAAAGGTAACAAAGAAAGGTAATAAGGAAAGCACAAAGTCAAAGTTAGGAAATGTGGGTACAGGAAAGTGACACAGCTGACAGATATTGTGTCCCCCACGCTGCAAATTTGAACCCAGGGATTGGATGTCCAGGAAAAGCAGGGAGGTGGGCATTACGAAATTAGGTAGGAAACTGTCAGGTTCAGAGGATGTGGCATAGTATTACAAAAACGAATCGGTTCTAGAAAGGATGAAATGGGGTAAGGAAAAAGAATGGTACTTATTTGAATAATAAGTTCTTGGAAAACCTGAAAATGATTTAAAATGTTATTCAGAAGGAAAGGAGGTACTCTAGTCAAAGAAAAAACATTGAAAAAATTTGCTTAATTTCATCCATCTCAACTTCAGATTCAAAAAATCATATGAAGGGTCTAGTGTGGCAGGGATGGAAGAAGAGAGTCCTGTCAGCAACATGAACCCCACCACTTGTCGAACAATGGTAGACACGACCTCAGCAGGCAAAGAACTTTCTAGGTTTTTGGTAATTGTGAGTGATATGTGTACCCACTTTAGCAGAAAATGAATTCACATAAAAATTAATGTTAACTTGTGAATTCATACTGAAAGATTGAAAACACAATGTTGTTAAAGTAAAATACTTCAACATATCTCAGCAAAAATAAACACGTCTGTTATGACTGTGCTGAGGAAAAAATTAGGAATTTAGCACATGGATATAGATGGTGCATTTGTACAAGGAAGTGTGTCACACTCCTACTGGTGCATCATTATGAAATAGTGCAAATTTGCGTGTTTCACGTGAAATTTGAGTGAAAGTTTCACAAGGCTGGTGGTATGCAAATTTCTCAAGCAGATTAGTGCAACTTCATGAGGGAAAATAGCTTTCTGTGTATAGAGATGAGTGACTGTATTGGAATACACATATTTCATTTATAAGTATATGTTATAATGTCTTATACTTTATGTATCTGTATACTCACGTCAAATCCAAGTTTTTGGACAATACGAGCATATTTTCTTGCCGCTAATCTTGATTGTTCTTCACTAGAAGAAAAGAAAAATCACTAACCTTTTATTAAAGTACATTTTATTCAATATCAAAAACTTTCTAAACTTTGTCAGAAACTGAACGTCAGCAACACAACCAGTATTATAGATATTATTATCTGTAAGCAACCTAAAAGATAGTGTTTAATTCCAGTAAATGAGAATAGTTTTGCATAATGATTGAAAAAAGGTGTTAGAATTACTAACAGCATAATTATTCGGGCCTATTATTCTCGTCCTTATTATGTGTATTATTATTTTCACAACGTTTCGACCAGTAAGTTCTTCGGCCATCGTTAGGTGTTATATCAGACACCTTGTAAGTGTCCCAACCAGAAAGCTTTTTTTCTGTGTGAAATTACCATGATTCTAATCCTTGAACCTATGATCCTGAATACAGGCACTCTAGCCGCTTGTCCTCCTGATATGATTACATATACATAGTATAGCAAAAAAAATTTCTGATGATAAAACAGTACGTATTTAGTCACAAGTCAAGAAAGGCTCTATTTATTTCCAAACACCCTAATTACATTTCTAATAGTACCTCTTGGCCCCTGTGCACACCATTTTCCCTGAACTGAAAATTAGAGCTGTTGTTCTTGGTTCTCGTATCCTCATAATTACAGCAGCAAAACGTTTTGGGTTATACTCTGCATTTCGGGCATGAAGAGCTATTTTCTTAAGATCCAACTTGCAGCCAAGGTTAACTGTGGATACAATATTCCTAAAAATAGAATAAAAGTGTTCAAAGTAACTAATGAACATCTTACTTCTTTAGGATTCAATATAATTCTTACATATTTAATACTCATATCTTGTGTAGTTTAAATTCAATTTACTTGTAAAATTTTAGGTTGAAAAGTGAGAAACCTTATCAGCAATGTAATAGGTGGAGTTATAATTACTTTTATTTAAAGTATATATTTGATTAAGGTAACTTATACACATGTCATGCATTTTCTTCTAAACACTTTGTCATATACTTTATATAAGGAGCTGAGAAATAAATTCTTTACAGATTTATTAAAACATGAAACTTAATTCTAATATCAAAAAATTACATTTTAGATTTATGGCCCTTTTTCTCTTGGTTTGTCAAGATTTATACCTATGAATCATTTTTCTATACTTCATCTTTTTTCCTTTCTCTTCCCCTATTAGCAACTTATATTTTTATACAAATGAATAAAAGCCCTATAACCCAAGCATTTTCGAAAGGTGGACCTTTCTTCTTCAGGGACAAACTGGGAATCAATTATCATTTGATTTTCTTGAGTTGGATCATATACTCTCAGACTATAAGTTTCTTATGCAATCACTAAGTAACAACTCTCCTTGGCCTTTAGAAAAGCTGACACAATATTTTATATTGTTACATTTTCTCACCATTATCAAGACTGGAGAAGCAGGATGGAATTTAAAATTGGGTTATCTTTTTTGAATTTCATTTGATACCTAACATGTTAATCTTCCATTTACCATGGTGCAAGGATCCCCGCATACAAGTAGAAGTGAGACTAAAGAGGCATCTGTTAATCCCAAAAAAGGAGAAGATGATGCTCCTGTAAGGAAGTGACAGACAGCATAATGAAAAGAAAATTATGCATGACCAGTAGCTATGGTGCCAAACCTACACCTCAGGACTCAATATTTTTTTACACATAACAGATCAGAACTTGCTCATTGGTGGCCTCTGCAACAATATAAAAGGCAATCTAAAAATTAAATATAAAGAGTAGGACTACACCCACAGAAGGCTGAAAAAGGGAAAACAAAAATGAACCAGCCAGTGCAGAGTTAAAAGTAACACCCACTAATATCAGAGACAGATTTAACGAATCACACAAGGTACGTGTAAACCAAATGAAATCTATACAGGAACAAATCTACCAAGTCCTACAAAAAAGTATTCATGTAAAGAGAAAAGAAAACAGACAGAAAAGTGGTGATTGAGAAAGGTTATTACAAACACATTTTCAAATCCAACATTCATTACAAAAAGCCTAAGTATAAGTGGACTACTTCTTTAAGTGAGATAATTTATATGCCAAGATTCTTGATACCCAGAATATGACAAACATGTAAGAAAATCAAATACTTCTGAGCCTAGAATAGGAGTTCTCCCTGTTCCAAAATACAGAATGTGAAATACCTCCCTCCATACTATTATCAGAATGTCCTTGTCCCTATATGAGAAAACAAAATATGGCAGATATCTTAAATATCCCAAAAGTCCTTGGCACTGATGTGCATCTCCTCCTATATTGTATATTGAAAATCCAACATTCTGGACACAAGCAGTGGAAGAGGAATATGTGGACAGAGGAAAATAAACCAATTCATCCATATAATGATGAAAATCACTACCAAGGTGGTTAAGACAAACAAGCAATGAATTCAGCACATTGGTCCATAATGGCTTACATTGATGTAATGTAACAATAAGGCAACAGTTTTCCATGCTAAATGAAATCACCAAAAAACCTTTTAATCTAAAAGAAACAGGCCTATAATCAGTCTTTAATTTTTGAATCCTTTAGAAATGTAAAAACTCTATAATACAAAGACAACACTTCCTCAATAGCCTGTTTGGAAAGGGAAAGAATCTTTCTGATGATATGTAATAGTTTCAAAAGATTCATTTGAGATTTGAAAAGAAAGTAATGAAAGAAAAAGAAGACGGGGAAATTTCACTGGATTCCAGAACTGAAAGGACTCGATGCTCAGCAATAATGTTCTTTATTGTGGAAGAAATCTCACCAGTCTCCTCTACAATTTTCTGGGTGATGAAGGGATAGAAAAAGTAGAGGCTTAGTCATTGACCACAACTAGTCCCATAAATGGGACCATCAAATTGGCAACTGAGATAAATAAAAATAAGGCTGATAAAATAAGGGTTGAGAACCAAACCCTACTGAACATAAGAAATGAAAAGCTTGTGATTTTTGAAGGGTTCAGCCTCTTGTAGAATGGAGTTATGGCAATGTGAAGGAAAAATGTAAGCCATAGGAGTGGAGTGTTATCTGGAAATGTTTTCACTACTTTCCAAAATATATTGTGCATCCATAAAAAACCTGAAACAAAGAAAGGTTTCTGAAATATAAAACACCAGATAGATCTTATCATGGTGAAAGAAACCAGTCTTTTTGTGCAAAACCTCAAATATGAACTGAGCAGATGATAAAAACCATAAGGCAAACATATTTGGAAAGTCTTAAAAACTATGTTTGCAAAAGAGTAAAAAATAATTTACAGAAGACCTCAATCTTCTCTGCAGAAAGATGAATGCTGACAGAAAAAAGTGGAAGCTGGCAGAGTCAGCTGGTCAAAGAAAGTTCAAACAAAAGCAGCCATGAAGCTGTTGTTTTCAGTGAGAAGCAAGAATGATTAGGTCTGTTTAGGAACATAAGAACAATGGTATTCCATCATTTATTACAGCAAATTGGCAAAACCCCAGATTTGACAACTATATATGGTCATAGCAGTGTTACTCCATCCTTCTAACTTGGCAGAAGTCACTACTGTGCCTCTTGACTGATATAGACAATTACCTCAATACAAACTAGAAGTCAACAGTATAACAAAACAATTTTCTATTCTTCATAATACTTAAAAATAGTTTTTTACTATTTTAGTGAACAATTTCACAAAATTTACAAGTCTGTATTGAGATAAAAGTTTTATTACTTAGAACTGAAACAAACTGTATGAAACTAAATCTACAATCTGTGAACAAAAGTTGTCTCAAAATTTTATGATTACACCACATCCATGTGCTTACTTAAGATAAAAATTACTACAAGGTCCAATCTAATATACAAAAAAAAAGGAAAGCTTAATCTAACTTTTTATGAAATTACTGTAAATTTTTTAGAAACATTTAAATCATTGATTCACTTTGAGTTTTCATCATACAAGATAGCACATTCAAATGTTATTTCAGGTCTATATCTATTTGATACTTTACATCTAATGCAGTTGTAGTTCTTAATGTATTTGTATGTTGCAAGAGTTTATACTACACATGAATTATAAATGTTAATTAAGCAAAACATTCTAATTACAAAACCCTGGATAAAACTTAGCTACTTCAGTCTGAAGTAGGTTACTTATTTTGTTCCAAAAAAAGAACTAAAAGATGGAAATGTTTGAAACATGACAGGAACTTTCCTAAAAGTATGTAGTTTGAGAAAAATAAATCATCTTCGTTTTGATGTAGTTTTTATGCATTATCAGCTTTGAAATCTTGGGAAAATTACATTAGGAAATGGTTTTTATAAAAATAATAAAATACTTACATTTGTTAAAGATTTGAACATTTTACTTTTATGTTTTAGTACATAATTCTAAGAATCTCTAATAATATTTTATCATTCCATAAAGTGTAAATTTTGTCTATTTTAAGTTTTAAATCATATACTTTCCTTATGTTTACAATTATTAAGTAACAAAAATATTATTTCCTAACTAAACCAAAACAATAAGCAAGTCTGTATTTTTTATTCCTAATTAGGATTTTAGATGGGCATATATTTAACAAATCTTAAACTTGCTTCATAAGTTTATTTTCCTTTCAAATGTGCATTTGACTATGCCCTAAATAGGTTTATTGAACCAATAAAAAACAATACCAACAGCATGAATAAATGTTCAATTGACAGTAACATACACACAGTGTCTTTTGCTAAACCTTATTCACTTCTTAGATCTTGCACTTGGCCATCACTAAGTCTAAATGTTTCTAAGCCTAACACTTGTAAATCAGTTTTTGTTCCTCAAAAGTATTTGAGTTAATACAACAATAGAATAATTAAAATAAATATTTAAATGATATAGCATGTTTTTCAGATGTTATAAATAAAGCCAAGTAACTCCTAGTGAAGTTCTTCTCAAAGGCATTTCAAACATTGTCACAACTTCCTTCTTCAACATTTCCCTTGACTATTTCACAACAATAACTAAAGTAAATCACACATTCTATATACCATTTCAAAGCACAGAAAAGGGGTTCTTGTCATGTGCTTAGTTTCATCCTATGGTTTGCCAAACATAAAATATAGGTTGTTACATCAGATCATGATGAATCAGGCATATGAGACAATAATTGGTTAAATATTTAAAACTAGGCTTATATATATGCTCAGGAGCAATGATTTATACACCAAACTGTTCAAAATAGTTAGAATATTGATCACAGATGGAAACTTTGCTGTAATTATGGTGGGAATAGTGTTATAAATTTTCCAAATACTATTGTTTCACATTAGAGGGCATTTATTTGCATCCTAAATATATTTTGTTTTTTTGTTGTTATATTTCTCTTTAAACTTCATTAAATAAAACAATTGAGCAGAAACAAATATTATAGTTTTATGTTAGTAAAAATCCATGGAAAAAGGCTTCAAGTTATATATTCATAATTTTGGTTAAATTGTGTCTCATAAAACCTTTGTTTCCAGATGCATATTATCTTGACAATAATGCATTGGAAGTTGTGTCAACATATCTTGTTACTATCTTCACATACAAACGCATGTAAAAGTAACCACCACCTGATGGAGGTCAATAAACTTGTAAACAAGTTCCATACTTCAATTGATTTTAGTGCCTTCCTAAAATTAAGGTTAACTGTAAATTCTAAATACTTTTAAACTTCATTTTATTTCATGTAGCTTTATTACTAAATCAATAATCTGTCTATAAATGAGAATCTGTTTTTAACCAAACTATTTCCCACAAAAAATACTAACTTCCATTGGAAAAAGTAGAAAATAACTATTAGTTTGTAAGGTAAAATAAGTAGCTTAAGCATTATAAAAATTACAACTTTAAGTTTAGAGATAAACATGCAGACTGCATTACTGATCTAATAAAATATAGGATCTTAACCCACTCACTGTGGCTGGGATGTATATTTACCAGTGCATCCAAGCCCCAGTGAAAGGTTTATTAGCAAAAAACCGTATTCACACTCAAACCTTTTATCATATGCTTAAGTATGTTGTTGCTCCTAAAACAACACAACTTACTATTTCTCAAATAAATCACTTCTTTCTGAAACTTAAGTCTGTCCCTTTAAATCTATGTTTACTTCATCATCTCTCTTATGTAATCTCAACATAAAGAAGTACTTACTGAAGCTGTGGTACAATGCCAGGATCAGCTGATGAAGGAGTTATAGGAGTCATAGGTGTCATAGGAGGGCCTGGGGTAGGTGGAAACAGGGCTCCAGATGAACTTGTCCCAGAAGTACTTGGTACAGCTACATTTTGCTACAAATAGATAGTTCACCACAGCATATTTACAAATACTAAAAAAAACAACTTGTATATGCAAATAGTTTAATTTCATACAATGCATCACACACATTTCAGCAAAACTTCAGATTTCTTAATAATTTCTAATATTGATGTATCTTTAGTTAATACACACAATTTTTTTTTCAGAGCTACTGTTCAACAATAATAAAAATTGTTCCTAAAATATTATAATCATATAATTGTCATAATTATTATACTTATGATAATAATTTAGAACTAAGGCAAAGAAAGGGGTAAGATTCAGTTACCTAATGTATTATTCCAAACTTCAAATTGCAGACTGTAAACTTTTATTCAAAAATTTCTAAGAGATAAGTAAACTAAGAAAATTGCATTTCATTTATTTTGTGATATTATTGTAAACAATTGTGATTCCAGACAGCAAACTGCATGACATATGAAGAGTCAAAATTAACAAGAAACTTGATATTGTGATCAGTTTATTCTGGTGTAAGATAGCTTTCTTATTCTGACAGGTAGCTAGCCTTTGGAATGGGTTGCCTTCAGATGTGGTGGATGCAATTAATTTAAGGGAGTTTAAGGAAAAGCTTGATAAATATTTGAATTATAACTGCTGGCTTTGAGTATTTTAAAGTTTAATTCAGATGATTGGGTGGCCTAGATCAGGCATATGCAACTTCCTCCAGGGTGCAAGCAAGATAGCAATTTTTAAATGTACTTGCGGGCCACACCATGTGAAGTAAAATTGTAGCTAATAATCCATATTTCAATATTTTACAAGTTTTAAGTTCTTGAATTTATAAGGCAATATTTAAAAAAACCCTTAATTTTCCCTAGTGTGAGAATTGTGATTTTCTTCTAGGCATCCCCTCTTATCTAATTTATTCACCACCCCTCCAATAAGTACGAAATTTAATGTAAATTACTCACTATAATATCATCATCACTTAACTACATTCATACCCTGGGGTTTTTTCTACCCCAAAAATTTTGTAAACAATCTCACAAACTGATGGCAGCACTGAGGCCTTTGCTATTCCTGGTAACTTCCTAAAACTGCCAATAGAATACACATAGTATCTCCCATTTCTACCCTTAACTCAGAGCAACATATGGTTTCTTGTGACTTGGGGAGTAAAATGCCCCACAGTAGTAAACCAAGGTATGTTTTCCCAGATTAGCTATCTCTCTATTATTTGTCATTTATGATACAATAAGAGTTTTAGAGCTTATACATGTCAAATAAGAAACAATATTTGCTTCAACAAAGATTTTTGCAGAGTATTTGGTTATTATGAGGGCAATTTCACAATTTCATATTTTGTATTACATTGAAGATGGATGGTAACAGTGAAGGTGAGAGAATTAGGTAGATGTTGGCTAACTGTCCCACTAATAGTTAACTTGAGGACAACAGTGAGGGTGAATATGATCAGCTTGAAAATAGTCAGATAACAGTGTTTAGCTCACAGTAAAGTTTACATCCAGTGTATTCAGTATCAAATGATGGTATCAGATACAGAAGATTCCAAGCAAGCAGTTAGGTTAGATTAAATGTAAGACATTTTCATTGAAGTTGGCCAACAAATGATGTTTTTTGTTCAAAATAATTCATAGAAAGATGTTTAAATAAAAAAAAGCTTTACTTTTTTAATCATGTAATTTTTTGTAAATAAAGTGATATCAAGCATCAACATCTGATATTTTCTATTATTCCTTTATTAACACTACCAAAACATAGAAAAATGAACAACATTCTATGAAATAATTCATAAGATGTTTACCTTAATTGCAAACATAGATAGATTAACAATCTAATGACTCTTAAAGTTTTTTTTGTTTTTTGGGTGTGTTGTGTGGTGCAATCCCAGGGTATGAAAGTTGTTCTATACAGCAAGGGTACTAATGCAGGGTTAAACAAAGCATAAATTTCCTAGCCTTCAATCTTGTTTGGTTACAGAGCCATCAAATAGAAAATCAGACCCCTCTTTCCACACCCACCTGTCACATCCTCTCTTTCAGGATTTGTTAATAGTTTTCTCTTACAATTAATATTATATTACTTATAACCAATAGAAACCCAAGGTTTTAATCTATCAACTCCTGTATTATATTATGTTGTTTTCTGTTCATAGAATTGTCAATTTCTCTTTCAGTTACCACGGGAAAGATATCAACTAGTTTGAAAGAATTTGTAATGGCTCTTGTCGCATAGTTAGAAAGCCAGAAAAATTGTAATAGTTATGGGACATTGTCTGCTTTTAGCATGTTATTATTCTATGTCTTTGGTGCATTATTTAATTAGATGAAAATTATTTAGTGCACTACTACCATTTGTATAAAAAAAGTAGGGTGAAGTGTCATCGACAGTGGTAAGCAAAATAAAAAAGGTCCAAGTAAGTAATTTATTTCTTGTTTTTCATGTGTATTCTTTACTTATTATTATAAAAGTAACTAAAATGTAAAAATAGAAAACTCTTTAGGTTAGATTAGATAAAATAAAAAAATTGAGTTTGTGGGCAGCTCATGGGCAGGATTCAATTATATTTTAAGAAATCGTGGACCAGATGCAGCCTGTGGGCTGTACATTGCACATGCTTGGCCTAAATGAACCAACATGTCCCTTGCTGTCCTTCATTTATACATATGAATAAAAGAGAACTGATTCACAAGGAAATATGTGTGTATGTGTGTTTTTATAACAAAGCCACATCAGGTTATCTGCTGTGTCCAACGAGGGGAATCAACCTCATGATTTTAGCATTGTAAATCCGTAGACTTACTGCTGTCTCACTGGGGAAATTATGTGTATGTATGATAATACACATTATAATGCACAATTGTTATTAATATCACTTCTAAAGTAAGGGAAAAGTGTGCCTGTTTATTTGCATCACAAAGACAAAAGATACGAGGCTAGTAAATTCAAATCAAACAGCACCTGTCTATGTTTGCATATACAATTTAAGTAATTGATTAATACCTGAATTGGCCAATTAACTTAATTAATGGATTACATACGAGCATCTATTAGTATCACGCAAAATAATCCAGTTATGATTAAATCAATTGATATCCCAAAAATAATCAGCTAATTGTAATTAATATTTCTGTTTATTACTTTTTTGGTCATTCCAACTACCAGTCTCATGTGAGAATAACTGATTAATGAGTCAGAAAATTAATCAATTACCAAATTCCACTAATTACCCAGCTCTGATGAATATATACATATAGTTTTAATTTTCCCAACATCCATAAATTCAACAAGTTCTAGTAACTGGTGGTGGAAATTATATCAAATAAACATCGCTGTTTCAGTCAAATATTTCTTAAAATGAGAGATCACAACATAAAATATAGGTTACAAAATGATTCAATTCAACAAAAAATAGAATAATAATGTTTACATTATTAGACATCTACTTCTAATTTGGGTGATATATCATTTACCCACTTTTCATTGAAGGAGTAACCTAAGTTTCTACCATGTCCCCATCTGACCTGGAGCAACAAACAGAGTAGTTTATCCATTTTTTTATTTGCCACTACACCATTGGTGTTATAAATGAAGATATAATTTCAATAATTCATGTTGTTGAAGTGACAAAAACTTTCTATGTAACCATAACAACCATCTCAAATACTGACATGATGTTGCCCATAACTGATCAAAACAGGAATTGAAACTATCTTACTTTCCAACAACATTTATAATTCAATCTTTTTTTCTTTCTTGATATCCAAGTTATTGGAAAGTTCTGAAACATCATCCACCATTTTCTTAGACAAAGACACTTGTTGTTACCATTTAACTTGACTTTCAGAAAGATAGGAGCCTCACAAGAGGTTAATTTGTAGGTTAGATTTTAAGATTGGCGAAAAAAAGCTAAGAAGTTGGTTTAATGGTATAAAGCAAAGAATAAAGATAAATTATAATTTTATCAACTAAAATAATGAGACAAGTGGAGCTCCTCAGGGGTCTTTTAAAACATTTTCATTTGTGTTAAGATTTGGACTTTTTTTTTTTGGACAATAATATTTCTAAATTCACTGATGATACTAAATTGTTGGGTAAAGCTGATTCTGTCAAAATGCTCCTCTTATCTAAAATGGCTTCAAAAAGAAACTTCAACAGTCTAAGAGAATACAAAAGATGAGTATTAACACTGAGAAGTGCAAAGTTATCATAAGGTGCATATAAATTTTAAGAAAGCTTACTTTTTTGTATGAAAAGTTTGTTGATGCTATAGAAAAAGGGAAGGAATTAATATTACTGTAGATAAAAATTCTTAAACCTCTGTCGAGTGTTTTGTTATGGTAAGAATAGTATAGAGAGTTCTCAATTCCATTTATAGGCTTTTTACTATAAGATTCAGAAGGTTAATGCAGCCTGACAGCATCCAAGACTCGTAAAGACTCATATGGAGTACTGTGCACAGATTTGATCCTCATATAACACATAGAATGTTAACATCTTTCAAGGAGTTCAGAAAAACCTACTACAATGATACTTGAATTATGTCATTTAAGTTAAGACGAGCCTTAAAGTTTTGGAAATCTTTTCTCTGAAGTGCAGGTGATTTATAAAAAGTTTGTTGTTAAGCACAAGGAGCTATCTGTGCCCTGCCCATCATGGATATCAAAATATGGTTTTTAACATTATAAGTTTTCCCACTTGCCACTGGGGACAATTTACAAAGGGAGGGAGAACTGATTCAGGTGTTAAGAATTATTATGGAGTGTAGATACTCTTTTTATGGGTTGTCTGTCTGAACAAACAAATGAAAAGATCAAAAATATAAGCTTGAATACTAGGAGTATCAGATTTATTCTTTGGAATCCTAGATTCAGACTTGTCCTTCAATAAGATTTATATTTTTTGCTATGACTTAAAAGCTTATACAAAGGTTTAGTTGATTATGTAGTACGTAGTGTTAACTTTAATTATTTTACAATTTTTCTTGAATCACAATACATGTATTTATATATATAATAAATTTACACACACGAGGAAACAAATACTACTAACAATTAATTCAACCATATAAAAATTGAAAACAATGTGCCCAATTGGCATGGAAAATATTGTGTTGTTTGTTTCATACTGCATATAACAACATTGCCATTTCTTACCATTATACAGTGGAGTGTACTAGGAACAAAGTAAAATTAGTATAATTTTGTACCATGGATTTATGACTTCACAACCAAAACCCACTGCAAATGCAGGGGTTCATTTTACTTATAAAGTCTATTAATTTGTATATCACTTAACTGATTTCTACTCAATTACAAAACAAATCATTGTGCAACCAGGATTCAGATCTGCACTAGGCATATACAAGAACTTAACGTAGGTTACAGGCCAGAGCTGTGTTAAATAGACTACCTTAGTCAATGGTAAGTAAGGTCATGTAGGAACCTACAGAGATTGAAACAGCATTTACATCATGCTTATTAGTTAAGTAATCAACAATTTATGCATGTCATTCTCCAACTTATATATATGTATACTAATAATTATTATTATTATCATTACTTGCCTAAAAAATTTACAGTAATATTAGTATCCTAATGCCAAAAAGAAAGCCTAGATATAGATCTTAGCCTTACTGATCAAGATTTGAAAGTTGAAGATATAAATATGTAATACTTTTACATTTAGTATCATTGTTGCAGCTGAAATACAGCTTTCCATTAGAAAAAAAAAAGTAAAATTTCACTGTTCAAGAAAAGAAGGATCATTAAATTTTCTAAGTTCAAAACATCAAATTGAATTGAAGGGTTTTATGTTCATGTTTACTGTAAATCGAATCAAGAATGTCACTTACACAAAACAATAGGTGGGTTTTATTGTGACAATGTCAATAGTTTGGTCATGGTTTATTTATTTTATGATTTTAAGATTTATGTTGTATTTCTGAATCTTGTTTAATAATATTCACCTGATCTACAGCCTTAACTCTAAATTTACAGTACTGGTCCAAGTGTTTGAACATCCAAATGGAAAATGTTTCTGTATGATTATTCCCACAAATTTTTAAATGAGAATCTAATATCATAATTTAGCAAAAATTTGTGAAATATATTTCATGTCCTCAAACATGTTCATTTATTAAATGGCACCTAAACACAATATAATTTTAATCAGATAGTAAAAATAATGGTAATAATTTTCCTCCTGTGATCAGCACCACAGTTTCAGAATACTGGAGTATCAAACATCAGTTGACTCAAAACACTGATTAGTATGGCAGATTTAGAGTACAGCCTTGAATCAGGTGAATAAAAACTGTATAACTAGCACCAGACTTTACATACAGAGCTAGTAACACTAAGTGTTCAGACATGGCAGATCAATTTACATTAATATAAAGATCTGATATACACTTCGTTGAAAATATTTAAGTTTTTTTTGAAATTGTGCAACAGTTTTGTGAATTGTGGGAATAATTAACATAGCAAACAATGACGTAGATATCTAACTAACACTGAAACACGAGTTATGTGATAGCATAACTGAACTAAAAGTAGGGCTACACCAGGTTTTTAAATTACAGCACCAATTTTTATGGTGATGCTATTCACACTACTAATAATGCCAATAATGATTAATGAATTTCTTACATTGTTATTAGTGCCAACTTTAATTAATTTTCTATTGGCACCATTACCTATTTTCTGAGTATTTTTCCATTCTATTATGTAAGTAATACAGATATAGTTTTAAGTTTTGATAACATTCATATATCAATCAATCGTGATAACAGTTACTGAAAAATAACATCATCAGAAATAAGCATAAATCTGAACTCTCTACAGAAATGTATTTTATTGTCTTTTTGAGGAACTTTTAATTAAGTTTAATCAAGCTTATTTATTTCAATTTTGAAACAATTTGCCAAAGGACTTTCAGTTTTCAAGCACATTTTATTACTGATGAGACAAAAAAGAAGTATCAATGAAACAAAGTTCAGAGGAAATTTGAGCTATCCATAGAACCTTCAATAATGTAACAGACATCTATGTCACCATTATACTAACACTGAAACAACTATGTACAGTTTTGGTCTTATCAAACAAAGGATTCTGAATTACTGGAAAAGGTTCAAGAGGAAGGCTACTAGAATGATTTTTATAGATGTAGGCTAAAATCTTTTCTTTTGAAAAATGGGCAAAAGGTGATCTTATTGAAACTTACAAGATTATTCTGGGAATCAATAGGATAAATATTTTTGATTTCTTGATGTCGTGTTCTGAAAGTAATGGGATGAGAGGACGTAAGCTTAAGATTTCAAAGAAGTCAAGCTAGGTTCCAGTTAAAAAGTTTTATGTTTCTAACATGGTGATTGGCTTTTGAACAGAGTTGCCATCAGTGGTGGTGGTGATCAGAACTTCAAAGGAATTTAAAAAGGGATTAAATGATTTCCTGAAAAATAAAAGGTTGGTTTAAATTTTGACTTTTCTCAAGTATGAGTATGGAAAACAGCCAAATGGGTCCCTTTTTGTTCATACGTTGTTACCCAAGACATAAGTACAAATTTTCCCTCAAGTTAATTTACTTCACTTTTAAATTTAAAATTAAGTTTATAGACTACAATCTATTTCATTATTGTTCAAAGATCTGTATAAGAATTTATTATAAATGCAAGCAATTAGCAACAATTTTATGGTGATGCTATTCACACTACTAAGAATGTCAACAATGATTACTGGGTTTCTTACATTGTTGTTAGTACTAACTTCCAACAATTTTCTATTGGTACCATTACCTATTTTACCTAGATGTGCCAATTAAATGATAAATGAGGGAAAGGTTTTCAAATCTTATCCACTATTCCATAGTTATTTTATCACGTTTTGTGTTACAACTGCAAACCAATATTTATTCAAAGTACACTCCTAATATTTATTCTGTCATGTTCTTCTTTCATGTTATTCAATGCTTTAAACAGGTCTGATACAATGCCCAAAAAAAAACAGGATGATCATCATTTGTGGAAATAATATTTAAATACTGGGATATTTGATACTGTTTTTTCAACTATTTTGAAAGCAAACTTTTACAAAGGAAATAATAAAAACATTTGTACATTTGTTTGAAATAATCTGAAAATTTTTGGTTTGACACTTTAGATTATGATAGTTTATAACTCGAAACAATCGTAAAAGTCCAAGTCTCCCCCCAAAAAAAGTACTTACAATTCATTTCTGGCCATAGTCCCATAACAAAAGTCATTCATAAGACTGAAAAAGTTTTCAACAAACTTTTATGCTTATTTTCACAAAGGACAAAGTAAACACATTTGCACTTTAAAAAATATTGCCATACATGTGAAGATTATTTCTACAAATTATGATTATTCATTCTGAGTATTATGTCAGATTCACATATTTGCTTGGCATAGGAGTATTAACATGGCAATCAACAGCAAGGGTGTAAAAGTATTCTAAAAAAATAAACTGAAATCATTTATTTAAACTGTTCAATGCCACTTACTTCAGATGTGATGCATATCAGCTAAACCTAACAGATTGCAAAAAGCACTTTTACTTTAAGCCAGTAGCATATGAAAAGGTGGAGCAGCTGCCCAAAGTTACTAGGGGGCCACTGAAAATTGATATTTAAATTTTCAATAATGAGGAGAAAATACTCAAAAACATGGAAAAGCTTTAATGCCCCATGGCCCTTTTTGACAAACAACTTTACACCACTGGTTTAAACTGTTTACAATTCCTCTGGGCTTGGGTACAATACTTGGTCTTATCATCACGCAAAAACACACTCATGCATCACCTTCTTAACTGTAAGGCTAGGCCCATAAAATCTTGTTCTGTGAACCTTTTTTGACCAAAACATGAAGCAATGTGGAAAATTGTTTTTGTTTTTTTATAAATTGAAAAATATTTTACTTTATAAGTATACTTAGATACATAGTATGTTATTAACTTATTACTACGGTTACCACAAACTGTTGCTACTTATACAGGTATACAAAATAGATATTAACCTACAGAAGTATCAACTATCTCAGCTAGCAAGTTTTTGGTCATAATGAAAAAAAAAGTAACAAGTAAATAATGGCATTTTTCATTTTTAAAGCTGCAATTTTCCTTTCCCCTTCCAAAAAAAAATATATCAAATTTAGAGGCAGCAAAAAACAAACATCAAAATACTTTTTTGGTGTGACCTATTCTTACTTTTCCAATAGGAAAGATTGGTGTTTAATTCAAATTTGAATCATACAAGTGATTATTCGTGCAGATAGCCAATGTGAGAGAAAACAGCACTAGTCACTCTATCAATTTTATAACTTATAAGAATGGTACACTGGTAATATGGATATCCATCACTATCAATTTTAAATATATTTCTCTTATAATCATCTAACACTCTCCAACAGAGCCCAGTGCTCAGGTACCAAACAGCATAGACCACTGACTAGTTAGGGTAGCAGGAATCACAAATAGCACAAGCTATGTTACACTCACTTACTGGAGTTTGTGGTTGTATTAAACTTTGAGGAGTTAACCCGGAGCTGGCAGTATATGGTTGAATAACACTAACAGAAGAATTTCTGTGTTGTGGTGTTGAGGGCTGAGACTGAGCCTGTGAATGTGATGGCGAATCATGCTGTTGAGGTTGTAGAGGCGAAGGTTGCAGTTGACGCTGAAGTTGTTGGATATGTTGTTCTTCAGCTGGATCAGGCTGACCTCCAACTGAAAGAGGCGTCCCTAGATTCAAACTGAATCCTGGACTTGAAATATCCATTTTTTATAGTATTGTTAAGTATTTCCTACTAGCATATACGTATATTATTCTTAACTCAATCGTCGTAATATTTTCATACTCGTGCGTTTTAACACTGTCGTTCCCAAGTAGGCCTACTGCAATGAACGAGCTAAGCGACTAGCATTAAGCACCGACTCGGAGTCAGCTTGCCGCTTTCGATTACACTATTGTGAGTTAGTGATCTAATAATATTTAGCTTTATTTTCGAAATACTTGATGTTTTAATTTGAAGCATAGTAAATTTTTGATTTAATTAAATTGATAATTAGAAATTAAAGTTCTATTTTGTTAAACTTGATGCTTAATTGTTGTTTTTATATTATAGTATAAATTCGAAGTAAATAATATAGATAGAGAGTAATGTTACTTCCGACGGCCAAATTACGTAAAATAACTAGATGTACTTCCGTACGGTCCTCGAAAGTGCTCTGTTTCAAGAGTAAATAAAACCAAAATTAAGAGTAACAGATTATACAAATATTTTTATTTCCCGCTTTTGAAATTCATATGTCATGCTTTGTTGTAGCCTACAGAGTGCATATTTCTTCTCGTGATTCATGGCATGCGCACGTTTTACTGACATCACGACAATACAAATTGCAACGTTAAGCGTCCCTTATGTGACGTCATTTCAGTGTCGACTGACTGACTGACTGACAGACAACACATTAATGTATTGTGGTGCGAGGATTTAAAACAGGTGAGCCTTCCAGGTGGCCCTTTGGCCTCCTTTTGTGCTAAAAAGTTGGCAGTGAATCACCAGTGACTCTCCATACAATACAGATAGTTTTGCATTTTCTGGGATATTACTATTAGCGCACCTAAACTACGTCAGCCAAAAGCACCATTAAACTTTTAACATGCAAGTTGAAACAATCATAGATCAAATGTGGAAAACAAAATCAATATCTGTGGTAAAGTAAGAGAAATAAATCGCTAAAGTAAGGCAGAAACATGGTTCTCCTTTTGCTAGAGATGCTTTCAATAAAAATGCAGTGAATTTTATAACACCATATCTACAATACTGTTGCGTCAACGAGGTCACGTGACTAGTGTCACTCCACGTTTCTAGAACTATACTGTTCCTTCGGGAGTGCTCTAGCATTTGCTAGATTGGGGAGTGGGCTGGTATATATATAAGATGGTCACGGCGTGACGGGATAATGTGTGTAGGTAGTGAGTAATTGAACTGCAGTCAGAGAGTATTGTTG